TAACCAAATCATGCTGGCATCTGCACATCTTATGACAAGATATTTAATTCAATGTAAAGAAGCATTGGTTCAATACCTTCTTTGTAAGTAACAACCTAATTGTTAGGAAGTGACGAGAGAAAACATAAGGCCTAGAATATCAACTTTATATGCAGGGGCTGTTTCAATATTGCTATGCATATATAAAAAGTACACGATGAGAAAATTCTTTCATTTGTTGTAATGTTTGGTTTTGAACTGACAATCGCTGTGCTTTTTTTTAATGTAATCCACGATGAATGTAAATGGATTAGGCATTAATTGTTTTTATGGTTCTGCTGAAAAAGTAGCAAAAGAGAGGCGGAAGGTCTAAAAAGGATATTTAAACTCATAATTGGATGAAAAATGACAACACCAAAAAATAAGTTACAGACCAAAAGACAAACAGCAGTATAAAAATAAACAATATTTATGCAGAAAATATTTCACAAACGGACGGTTGTTTGATGCATATTCAGACCAGGAACATGTCAATGTGATACACATCATGTGATTCTGATTCCTGCTTTGTAAGGAACAACCACGCTGATCCGTATTTTTAACGTGATAGTCTACAAGGTAGCAGTCAGGACAGTCAGGAGGATGACATGTCTCTCTTCCATTATTCGAACTCCATGCCATCCAGTTTCTTCTCTTACTCCTAAATGCCACATGCTTGTTGGAGCAGAACAAATAAAATGCAATATCGTGCTGAACATTTTTCATGTTCAAAGTTTCTATTTATCTATTATAGTTTTCAAGATAATAGTAAAAAAACGCCCCCAAAATTATAACAAGAATGCACACGCTGAACTGTCTCGCCTTCTGTACTAACCATTGATATTATATTGATAGTCCTAAATAGAAAGCTTTACTACAACTATGACATAAACTTAACATGATCCAAGAAAATAAGGTCAAGATCATATAAACCAAACGAGAAATACATGTACACCTTACAATCATTCAATACACTAAATATAGTTGACCTATTGCTTATAGTTTCTAAGAAACAGACCAAACCAAGAAAACTAAACATTGACCAATGAACCATGAAAGTGAGGTCAAGGTCAGATGAACCTTGCCAGGCAGACATGTACAGCTTACAATCCTTCCATACATCAAATATAGTTGACCTATTGCTTATAGTTTAAGAAAAACAGATCGAAACACATAAACTTAACACTGAGCAATGAACCATTAAAAAATGAGGTCAAGGTCAAATAAAAACTTCCCGACTGACATGTACATCATAAAATATTTCCATACACCAAATGTAGTTGACCTATTGCATATAGTATTAGAAAAAAAGACCAAACCTAAAAGACCACTGAACCATGAAAATGAGGTCAAGGTCAGATGACACCTGCCAGTTGGACATGTTCACCTTACAACCATTCCATACACCAAATATACTAGACCTATTGATTATAGTATCTGAGATATGGACTTGACCACCAAAACTTAACCTTGTTCACTGATCCATGAAATGAGGTCGAAGTCAAGTGAAAACTATGCAACGGGCATGCGGACCTTGCAAGGTACGTACATACCAAATATAGCTATCCTATTACTCATAATAAGAGAGAAATATAACAATACAAAAAATGTTAACTTTTTTTTCAAGTACCGGTAGTCACTGAACCAAGAAAATGAGGTCAAGGACAATGGACATGTGAAAGATGGAAACTTTGTAACATAAGGCATCTATATACATAGTATGAAGCATCCAGGTCTTCAACCTTCTAAAATATCAAGCTTTTAAGAAGTAAGCTAACACTGCCGCCGCCGTAGCCACCAGATCACTATCCCTATATCGAGCTTTCTGCAACAAAAGTCGCAGGCTCGCCAAAAACTATAATTGAGAGAATAACTACCATATCAAGATGGTTTATGTCTTGATGATCATTTTTTCTACTTCAAATTTCCAGCTATCTATTATAGCTTTCAAGATGATAGGTAATTATGCAAAAATTGGGAAAATGGTCATTAAAAGGCAATAACTTACGTCAAAAACTGTTAGATTAAATAGATTTTTCTTTCTGTCATTTTTGCTATTATATTTTTTTTACCTATCTATTATAGTTTTGGAGATAATAGGCAAATATGCATTAATACAGAAAAAAATGTCATCAAAGGGCAATAACTTCAATAAGGAGTCGACTAACAATTTTGCTTATCTTGACTTAGTTGTAGAAATTGTCTTGCTGATCAATTTAGCTATTTAAACTTTCTATCTATCTTTTATAATATTCGAGATAATAGGCAATTAAAAAAAACCAAATTCGTCGTTTAAGGGTAATCACTCCTATAAGAAGTCGTCTGACAGTTTTGATATCAATAGACATTAGCTAGATCTCATCATATTGAACTTTTCTGCCCCCATCAGATTTTTCTGTAAAAGTTAAAGGACAAGGGACGACCACATACAAAGTAAGCAAAGTGATGACAAAAGCTCTCTCTGACCCTTAGGATTAGGTGAGCTAACAATTGGGAAAATCTTGTCATAAAAGGGCAATAACTCCTATAAGGAATTGACCAGACTTATTTGTAGATCTTGTGATGCTGATAATTTTTGCTGCATACATTTTGTTTTATCTACTATTGTTTTCTCCAAAAATTCAATAAATGCATAAAAATCACTCTAAAAGGGCAGTAACTCATAAAACGAGTTAACTGACAATTTTGTTAACCTATTCATTAATCTTGTCCTGATCAAAATTTTTCTTTATTATCTATAATAATTTCAAGATGATAAGCAAAAAATTGCCACTTTAAGCAAAATCTCCTGCAAGGCTATAAAGAGTTGTCAAACAATTTTGGTCAAAATAACAGATGGTCGATCTTGACTTTCTGAAGTTTTGCTGATTAGACTATTTCTTTATCTATAATGTAAATAATGCTTATTTTCATCCTTGTCAGGCAGGACTATCTGACACATTTTTTTAAGTAAATATCCTAAGGATGATTATGGCCATTAAATTTGGTTCTTATTGATCTTTTTGACAAAATGATCAATTATTGATGGACGATTACGGATACAAAGTGACTTTAAAATTTATCTTGCCCAGTTAGCCAGGCGATCTAAAAATGAGCTGTGCCTAAACTGGCATTCATGAAGTAAGAATTGTGGTTATATACATTTTTGATAAAACAGATATTACATTATATTATTCCAAGCACTATATCAATGTTTACTATAATCAACAGCATAACTAAGCATTAAAATCTGTATAATTTTGTATTAAAACATATAGATAAAACTTGAAACTTGTTTTCTAACATTAAACAATACATCAGAATAATAAAAATCAAAAATAAAAGTGTTAAATTACATGCTAACAGTTAATTAAAAATGGAAAAATATTGTATATATTTTCAAATAAAAAATATTAAAGGCAAACAAGTATCAGTTGCCAGGTAAATAAATGTGGATAGTGTCCACATGTGGACACAGATGATGCCCCCGCTTGCATATCATATAGTTATAAAGGGACATAAATGAAAAATGGTAAAAGTGACACTACCCAAATATGAACTTGATCTGAGTTTTGTGGTAATAAGCATTGTGTGTAAGTCTCATAACATTTAGTTGAGGCTAACTTAAGTACAGAACAGAAACTAATCAAAGCACTGTAAGCGCTATAGGCAGTTAACCAAAAACCAAGGCAAACGTAATTATGAAAACTGTTTACAAGTTTTCAAAAATAAGGGGGGTGGGGGTGACCCCCGTGGACTCCCCCTATATTTCATTTGATGTTTTATTGTCCCATAAATGAATATATATGGTTTAGGGGTGGGGATCTCGACTGTTTACAAGTTTTCAAAAATAAGGGGGGTGGGGGTGACACCTGTGGACCCCCCCCCCATATTTCATTTGATTATTTTTATTGTCCCATAAATGAATATATATGGTTTAGGGGTGGGGATTTCGACCGTTGACAAGTTTTCAAAGAGAAGGGGTGGGGGTGACACCTGTGGACCCCCCCCCCATATTTCATTTGATTAGTTTTATTGTCCCATACAAGAATATATATGGTGCAGGGTTTGGGATCTCGACCGTTTACAAGTTTTCAAAAAGAAAGGGATGGGGTGACCACTGGGACTCTCTCTATATTTCATTTGATTTGTTATCTTGTCCCATATATGAATATATACTGTTTAGGGTGGGGATCGTGACCGTTTACAAGTTTTCAAAAAACAAGGGGCCGCGGGGGGGGGGGGGGGGGGGGGGGGGGGGGGGTGGGGTGGGGTGACCCCTGTGGACTCCCCTATCTTTCATTTTGATTTGTTTTACTGTTCCATACAAGAATATATATATGCAGTAGGGGTGGGGATCTCGACCTTTTACAATTTCTCAAACAGAAGGGGATGGGGTGACGCTGGGGATTCCCCCAAATTTTTATTTGATTTGTTTTATTGTCCCATACAAGTATATATTATGGTTTAGGGGTGGGGATCGCAACCGTTTACAAGATAAAAGCACATTTTCAAATTGAAGGGGGTGGGATGAACCCAGGGACTCACCCTATATTTTATTTGATTTGTTCTATTGCCCTGTCATTATTACTGAAGACCGTGTGTGTCTATCACTTACTGTTTTCAAGTAATAGTCATTTGAAAATTGAAAAAAAATAAAATCCCATAGGGTTCTATAGTTAACCCCTCCCTTCTTTAGGCCCCTCAAATACCCCTAAATAGACCCCAAGGCACAAACAAAAGATTGATGGCTCCGCTATACATGTTTGTCTAACATTTTATGAAACCCTAAGTAAATCTGACAAGCGGTCCGAGTTGTCTTCTTAGACAGTCCGAGTGGACTCAGTCCGACTGGTTTCGGGGACGAGTTGTCCACATTTCTTAAAACATCCCATCAACGTTGATTTTCATCTTTGTCATTCACAAAACAACAACAACTTTATTTGGCAAGTTCAGTGATGAGCGATGAACGGAATAATTTAATAATAGAAAGGAATTCTTCTTAATCGAAAAAAAGATCATGATAAACAAAACTTACTTTATAACATCAGAATACTTACTAGCTTACGTTTCGGGTAAGTTAAAATTACCGCCAACTTAGACTACTATGTATAACTTTATTTCCTCTATCATAGACATTTGGTGTACATGAACAATATTCCTGCGCTGTTTGCCATTTGGGAAATGTAAACGACTTGTAATTAGAGACTTTCGGCGATGAAATATTTCATACAATTGTTCTTTGACATCTTAGCCAAAAGCACATGGGATAATAAACTATGTACGGATTTCTATTGAGCACTATTTCTTATGTGCAACTTCAAAAATTTTGGGTGGTTCGACGATCATTTAAGGTTTTTCTGGTCATATTTTTTGTATTCCAGAATTGAAAGTATGAAAAAAGTGCCCAATTAGTTATTAATAACATATTAACCAGCTAGATAATAACAATAGCACTTTTTACACCATTCAGCGGGAAGAACACAAATCTAGGGTGGTAGCATAAGGCAGCTTAACTGCCTAAAAATGCAGCAATTTTTCTATTTGTAAACATGCATAACTCTAGAACGGTTGTGTATAAGTTTTAAAACATTTGGTTGAGACAAAAAAAAGTTAGAGAACAGAAACGAAAAATTCAGCAATTTTTTATGTTTATAAAGGGACATAACTCAAGAATGGTAAAAGTGTCGCCACCAAATTTCGTACTTAATCTGTATTATGTAGTAATAAGCATTGTGTATAAGTTTCATAACATTTGGTTGAGGCAAACTAAAGTTAGAAAACGGAAAAAAAAATTTGTACTTGATCTTTATTTTGTGGTAATGAATATTGTGTATAGGTTTCATAATGTTTGGTTGGGGCAAACTTAAGTAACAGAATGGAAACTAAAAATTTTGCAATCTTTTGATTTATAAAGGGGCATAACTCAATAATGGTTAAAGTGACACTTCCCAAATTCAACTTGATCTATGTTTTAACAGTGGAAGTCAAAATTAAACATTGCATTGTATAAAGCATTGATCTTAGTTTATTCAACTATAATCATGGACAAAGGAAGATAACTCCAATTTTAAAATTACTTGATATTTAGAATAAAATAAAATTTTGCAATTTTACCATTTATAAAGGGGCATAACTCTAGAACGGTTTAAGTGATGCCACCAAAATTCAAACTTGATCTGTGTTTTGTGGTAATAAGCATTGTGTATAAGTTTCATAACATTTAGTTGAGGCTAATTTAAGTTAGAGAACGGAAACTAAAAATTCTGCAATTTTTCCATTTATAAAGGGCATAACTCTAGAATGGTTAAAGTGACACCACCAAAATTTAAACTTGATCTGTGTTTTGTGGTAATAAGCATTGTGTATAAGTTTCATAACATTTGGTTGAGGCAAACTCAAGTTAGAGAACGGAAACCAATTTTGGGACGTACGTACGCACAGACGGACAAGGGTAAAACTTAATTCCCCCACCGCTACAGCGGAGGCATAAAAATAGGTATGTTTATATGATTTTCATGAGATTAGGGAGGAACTAACAAGCTAAAGGGTAATTTTCTAGTACAGTAACTACCCTCATCAAATTTCACAATAATTTGATTCTTTTACAAAACCAACAACTTCTTTAAATGAAGTAACAGAAATTAACAAATATATGAGAGATTTGAACTCCAGTATTATGTTTATCCCAAATGGGAAGCCTGGACATTACTTATGTCATTTCTTACTTGTCCTCTTGTTTATTGTTGACAACTTTTGGATTTCAAATGTCTTTTGGTCGCTAAGTAAATTGGTAACCTGAATAATTGAGTCCTTATATTCAGCTGATCTATGATGGGTATATTAATGCCTGAATGTATAGCAGCAGAGATCTATTATGGAGAAGAGCTGAATTATTGAAACATCTCCTTTTATAAATAATCAGCATTTGTATTCAGTATCTAGACTAGATCATTTAGGCACAAGGAAAACAAACTGGTTGGTTCCACAATATTGAATGCAGTAGGATGACTGGTCTTTCTATAGACTGTTACTTTGTAATATAGAAAATTACAAACCAGGCTCATCATGTCAGTCTGGTAGAAGCAGGGTATATATATACAGTTGTCTACAAGGGGAAGAAAATGTCTTCTATTCAACTGTAAAGTTTGTATAATATTTCTGTAATCAATGCTGTCCATCCTGTCTGGTGACTGAAATACGAAAACAAAGAACATTTAGGGAAACATTTATTAGATGAAGCATGTAATATTTTACTCTTCTTCTGACTCAATCAATTCTCAAAGGTTCATTTGATACATATAAATTCATGAACATTGTCATTAATATTGTTCTTGCAAGACAATCAAGAGACTCCTAAGAACCTGAATTGCTAACCTTAAAGAAATATGCCACCTTTTTTTTGCATCTAGTTATGATGGCTATTTGTAGATCTTATCTAGTTAATAACTTTTGCTGTTTTTTTTTCTACATCCTTTCAAGTTTCTAAGAATATATAAAAAAAATATATTCAAAAATGGACAAATTTTGACATTTAAAGTAAAAATCTTTCTTGTTAATAAATTTAGCTGGTAACAGTATCTATACATGATATAAATGTATTACAGTTTTTTAAGATAATTGATAAATAGATGTTCTCTTTTAGAAAAATGTTCTGCAACATTAGATTACGTCTACCTATTATGGGTTGTCAGATATTGACAAGCACTTATTTTCTATTTTTAACCATGGCAGTCAAGCATGGAGGATCAGTCAGCTCAAGATTGGTTAAAATTCGTCCATTGGTGTCAGATAAGAACATGTATCTGTTGAAATAGTCAATTAGTGTTCAGTGTGCATGGAGAATGTACATTGAACTACAGGATTCAAATTACTTTTTAAATTGAATAACAGTAAAACTGTACACAACATACTATATTTTGACTTAAAACATGTACGAGTGTATTTTGCAAGATTTGTCTCTAATTAAAGAACCTTAGTGAGCACGCTCACATACCCCACGCCCCCACATTGTCACTGGACAAACAAAATATCACCAGATTCTTAAGTTCAAAGACTCATAACTTTACAAAAGAGTTCAAAGGGGCATAACTCCTAGAAAAAAAAATTGAATCATAATTTCCTGTCGATATGCACATCTACATAGTATGTCCTTATTATCTACAAAGTTTCATGACATTCTGTTGAATGGTTTCAGAGGACTTGTGATGACAAAGTATATTTTGGCCAAAATTTTAAGTTAAAGGAGCATAACTCCTAGAAAAAAAATTTGAATCGTAATTTCCTGTCGATATGTACATCTACATAGTATGTTCTTATTTTCTACAAAGTATCATGAAATTCTATTGTGTGGCTTCAGAGGAGTTGCGATGACAAAGTATATTTTTTGACAAAATTCTAAGTAAAAGGGGCATCACTCCTAGAAAAAAATTTGAATTGCAATTTCCTGTCCATATGCACATCTACATAGTATGTCCTTATTATCTACAAAGTTTCATGAAATTCTGCTGTGCAGTTTTAAGAGGAGTTGCGATGACAAGAACAGGACTGGCCAATATTCTAAGTTAAAGGGGCATAACTCCTAGAAAAAAAATTGAATCATAATTTCCTGTCGATATGCACATCTACATAGTATGTTCTTATTATCTACAAAGTATCATGAAATTCTGTTGTGTGGTTTCAGAGGAGCTGCAATGACAAGAACAGGACTGGCCAATATTCTAAGTTAAAGGGGCATAACTCCTTGAAAAAAAATTGAATCATAATTTCCTGTTGATATGCACATCTACATAGTATGTCCTTATTATATACAAAGTTTCATGAAATTCTGTTGTGCGGTTTCAGAGGAGCTGCGATGACAAGAACAGGACTGATGGACAGACGGACGGATGGGTGAAAAACATTATACCCTCCACAACTTCGTTGCATGGGGTATAATAAATTGTTCGGGAGTCTTTTTTTTTAATTTATCTTTATCATTGACCCAGACAATGATAGACCTGTTCTATTTTACCTTGCCCCACATCCTCGCCCACTATCTGCATGAAAATATTCATAATACAGTATTAGATTCTTCCAGGAGTCCTGTGTGAACTGTTTGTAATCTCCTACAAAATATTCATAATAAAGTTAAATGATCTTTCCAAGAGTTCTTTGTGAACTTTATGTAACTTGCTACAAAATAGGCATGAAAATCTCTAACTTGTTCTTCCCCTAAAAAATGACTGTCTCTGTCATACACATCCATTATGTTCAAACCAGAACTGGGGTCAATTACATGCCAAAGTAATTAATTACATTTCAATTACATTGATTTTTAAATGTAATTAATTACATCACAATTCCACTGATTGTCAAATGTAATTAATTACATTACAATTACATTGCTAATGTAATTAATTACATTTCAATTACTTTTATCCAAAGACATGTAAGAGCTATATCATTTAGAATAAAATCATGAATATGACAACAGGCTAGAATAGAATGAAACTTGTATATATGTACATGTATACTGGTACAATGGGTACGTTCACTTTTTTACAATGAAAACATTTGTTCAAGAATCATTTATAAAAAAATAGTTTTCAAATTTCTAACGTCATTGTTACATTTAATCACCATTAGATTTTCAATGCTGATTATTTGATTGCATTTTTATTTTTTTATAGGGGAACAATTTATAAAGATTTACATATATATATATATTATATAAAGATCAAGATTAATATATTTTTTATTCTTAAGAATTTTTTCTTAAAATTTCAAGTTTAGAGCTACTAAAAATGTTAATTTATAATTTAAAGGTTTTCTTATGTACCTCATGTGAAATATGAAGTAACTTTAAAGCCTCCATTTATTACAGAAGCGTAATGGTAGCATTTTCAAGACTTGTTTTATGATGTGTCAAAACTATCAAGTATATTGGACTCCATTCTTGTATGTCTTTACTGTTGTATTTAAAATTTTGCAAAAGGTGTTTAAATAATATCCATCATGTCCATCTGAACAGATTTTAACATATAAATATTATGAACAGATATATCATGTTAAGGAGGGGTATTTGCGAAAAATACCAGTCGAGAGTAATACCCCTCAAGAACATGCTATATCTGTTTAATTACACCGAATGTTAACATTTCAAAAACGCATTGATGATCGTGACGTTACAAGCGTCCAGTCGGATAGAGTATTTTTTGGCAAATACCATGGCAGAGTAGGTAAAAAAGGCATATCCTTTTTGCATATACCCTGGCGGCGTTAAAAAATGAACGATATTCATTTGATAACAGTAAATTGGTGAAAAATACACTGGCTATCATCCAATCAAAACCCAGGATTCTTACATAAGGTGTAATTATGGTCAAAAATGCATTGCCTTTGGTATTTTAATCAAGGGACAAATTTGTACTTAATAATTAGTTAAGTGAAAGGAATAACCTGACGCTAGGATTATTGTTAATTGTTAGAACAACTTATATACAAATTGTATGCAAATAAATTGGTATTGTTTTTATTTTTAAATTTTTTTATGTAAACATGTGAAAAAATTAATGAATTAAATACAAATAAAGATTATTATTATACATGCTATAATGGTTAATAAAATATCTTGAGGAATGTCATACTTTTTTCATTATGATAAATTTTTAAAAAGTATTAAGAAAAATGAAAGCACCAAGTCCATACTAAATGAAGAAAAAAAAAAATTTACAAGTTGCATCAGAAAAGCCAATTTGAAAAAAAAAATATCCATGCAATCATTTGAATGTAATTCAAAGTAATTGAAAAGTAATTCATAATTACATTGCAAAAATTACACAATACATTGAATTACTTTCAAAATTGTAATTAATTACAGCTAATTACAATTACATTTTTAATTACCCCAGGTCTGGCTCAAATGTTTCCTTAAAATCACACACATCACCCAAATATGGTCAATTTCACTTCCCACAAACGTGTCTGACTATTTTCTTTGCTCAAACCTGATGGATTTGTTCATTGCCCAAATGTGTTTTATAATTTGTATCAGCTGAAACATGTCCACCTTAATACAAATGAATGTCTCAATTTTCGCTCTAACACTGTGGACTAGAATAGAATGGTTTTTTTTGTAGATCTTGTATGGCTTATAATTTCTTCTGTTTACAGTTTCTATCTATTTTTTTCTTTTTTGCCCAAATCACAAAAAACAATGCAAAATATCAATTAAGGTAATCACTCAAAAACAGAGTAAACCAACAATTTCAGCAAAATTTTACCTATTTGCTTATCATTTTTTCTAAAGTGTCTATCTATCTTTTATTGTTTTTAAGTAGTCAAAAATGAAAAAGATCGGTAAAAAAATCGTCATTTAAGATGTCCTCCTACAAGGAGTTGACTAATGATTCCAGCTATATGACTAATCAAGTCTCGCTGATCTCTTGGCATATTTAAGTTTCTATCTATCTATAACAGTTATTCAGATTTAAGGTAAAAAATGCAACAAAATGGTAAAAATCATTATCAAATGGCAGTAACTTCAATAAAGGGGTGGCTAGACAATTACGTGATTGTACAACTTATTCGTAAATCTTTTCTTACTGATCACTTTTGCTTTTTAAGTATTTATCCATCAAAAATAGTTTTTCGGATAATTAAGGAATGACTGTAATATTTTTTCTGTCTATGAACAAATAACCTTCAAAATGTGGTGCACACTGAATAACCCGTATAGCGGGTTATTTAAAAGTGTGCACTACATTTCAAATCCACAGAAAAAATATTAGTCATTCCTTATAATTAAATTCTAAATTCCATTAGTAAGGAGTAAACTTTAAAAAAAAACGATAGTGACATCATGGTCACATGACAAAATTATGTCTATGAGAGGACAGACAAAACACTTTCAGCCAATCAGATGATGTGTTACATCCAGAATTAAATATCACTCCTAGTTTTTGGTGGGGTTCGTGTTGCTCAGTCTTTAGTTTGTATGTTGTGTTTTGTGTGCTATTGTTTGTCTATTGGTCTTTTCTTTTTTAGCCATGGCGTTGTCTGTTTATTTTCGACATATGAGTTTGAATGTCCCTCTATGTATAAAGTAAAATCACAAAAATACTGAACTCCGAGGAAAATTCAAAACGGAAAGTCTCTAATCAAATGGCAAAATCAAAAGCTCGAACACATCAAACGAATGGATAACACCTGTCATATTCCTGACTTGGTACAGGCATTTTCTTATGTAGAAAATGGTGGATTAAACCTGGTTTTATAGCTAGCTAAACCTCTCACTTGTATGACAGTCTCATCAAATTCCATATCTTTCGCCCCTCTTTTATAATCAAACATATTACTTTTCAGGAAAGGCTAACAACATCAGATGATTTAGACATTTTTCAATTATAATGACATGGAAATGATAATTCTACATTGCATTTCCAATTAACATATCAGTATATGAGGATATTAATGCACAAATATCTTTAATATAAAATTTAACAGTCAACAAAGCAACTTAGGATAGACTTTTTCTACAAACAATTAATTTTTTGGTTTTATATGCAATTTAGTATTTATGGTCAATTTTAATTTTCACCACTGTTGGTTATTTACATTGAGTTTAAAAAAAAATCATTTATTTTCATCATGATGGTTTTGTGTGAATTTATCTCAAAAACATTGAGATAAAACGATGCATCTCTTAGTGTCCGTCTTTCCGAAAAAATTGTTATTCTTCAAAAATTATTCCAAGCAAAAAAGTAAATAATTCCAAGTATGATTTCAAGAAAAGCCTGAACATTTTCAAACAGATTTTTGAGTAATATCAGTATCAATGAGTATGTCAATTGGTTGACTGCTCATAATACAAAATGCAATATCGTTATATTTTAAAACTTATAAAAACACCATTCAATTCTTTACTTCACAATGTAATTGAAATACAATAAAAAAAATCAGAATATCACCATCTCTGACTAAAAGGGAAGTAAAGGTCTGGAGATAACACTTGTCATCATTGTATACGTACCATGTAAAGGTCTAGCCCCTGAGGAATCTGGTAGAAACATTGACACTAATCTTTTACAGACATCTTTGACAGCTAGGTCTAGACTGATTTTAGATTGATGAGCAGGATGCTGGATTGTAAGTCTACTACCAAGGCCTGAATGGATCTTCTCTAAGGCATCTAGTAGTATGTAGTTTGCTGGAAATCAGAAAATGTGATTATAGGTTTTGCTTTGGGTTAAATTCGTGAGAAGTAGGAAATCAAATATTATATTGCTCAATAAATTATAAAGGGAAATTTATAATAAATAGTGCAATTTGTCATTAGTCTCTGAAATGACAATTATGATAAAATTCAGAAAATGTTAATGTTGAATAATAATTATTTTTCGATAGAATTCATGAGTAAGAGGAAATCACATATGTCATTTTTTAGTAGCAACAAACAAAAGAGCTATGTCAATTGGACATGCTTTGATACTATATCTGCCCTTGAATTTTTACTTGATAACATTTTTGTTCGCTTTGGAGATTCCGTATATCAGAATTCCAATGGGGACTAACTGTGCACCACTTATTGCGGACCTGTTTTTGTATTGTTATGAGTTACAATTTATGACTAAAATCAGCAAAGACCCATCGAAACAACATCTGATACAAAAATTTAACAATACTTTTAGATATTTGGATGACATATTGGCTCTCAATAATGACGACTTCAGTATGTATACTAAAGAAATTTATCCTGTTGAACTTACTTTAAATAAAGCTAATACTAACAATGACCACTGTCCTTTCCTCGATCTTGATATCTATATCCTTAACGGGGAAGCTTAATACAAAAATTTACGATAAAAGAGATGATTTTTCATTACCTATCGTCAATTATCCATTTTTAGATGGTGACGTTCCCTTGTCACCATCTTATGGTGTTTATATATCTCAACTTGTACGATTCGCTCGTGTATGTAACAACATATTAGATTTTAGCGAGAGAAATTTATGTATTACTGAAAAATTATTACACCAGGGTTTTCGATATCATAAACTAGTCCATACATTTACTAAATTTTATCATCGGTATAAGGACATCATTCGTAAATATAACTCAACATGCAGACATCTTATACGTTCGGGTATTTCACATCCAATCTTTTTTGTAATATTCTTTACAAAGCACAAAAATGTCAGTATTCACCTCAAAAGCTAACAAAACCTTTAAACAGACTTATTAAGAAGGGATATAATTACGATACTGTTGTCAAGTCATTAAAGATTGCATATTTTGGCTTTAATATTGATTCACTTATAGGGTCTTTGCATCGGAATTAAACATATTTATTCTAAAACCAGTTGTTGGCATGACACGGGTTATGTTCTTTTCATATATTTTATGATGGTATGATACTAAACCCCTAACGGGAGGGATTGTACTTGATTTTCATATGATGAAGACATAATCTTTTAATCAGTTTAATTGAGGTCTGGAGATGACATGTCAGTAACTGCTAGTAGTCTGTTGTTATTTATGTATTTTTGTCATTTTGTTTATTTTCTTTTGTTTCCTATTCTGACATCGGACACGGACTTCTCTTAGACTGAGTTTTACTGTGCGTACTGTTGTACATTTGTTTTTTCTACATTGGCTAGAGGTATAGGGGGAGGGTTGAGATCTCAAAAAACATGTTTAACCCTGCCGCATTTTTGCGCCTGTCCCAAGTCAGGAGCCTCTGGCCTTTGTTAGTCTTGTATCATTTTTAATTTTAGTTTCTTGTGTATAATTTGGAGTTTAGTATGACGTCCATTATCACTGAACTAGTATACATATTTGTTTAGGGGCCTGCTGAAGGACGCCTCCGGATGCGGGAGTTTCTGTCTGCATTGAAAACCCATTGGTGGCCTTCAGCTGTTGTCTGCTCTATGGTCGGGTTGTTGTCTCTTTGACACATTCCCCATTTCCATTCTCAATTTTAATTGGTATTTTTAAAATTTTAAAAATATAAAAGCAAGGAAAAATTATTCCAAAACAAAAAACATTCATAATATATCAATTTTTCTTCAATAACAAATTATTACATCCATTAATCAAATCATACAGAAAGAAGGCCATGACAATTATGTTGTTTGAGTGACAACGAAGTAGTAACATCAAATAGAACAGCAATAATAGAACATTTTGACCAAGCTTACCACACATCCATATAGGACCTCTCCAGTTACTATTTCCACCCATTATTTTACTATCTGCCTCACAAGGAGCATAATGTAAGGTGTAATTTGCAGTAAGTGCAAAAGTTTCTGTATTCTCTGTTGTTTTCTTTCTAACAGGAAGTGTTAATATGTCATCTTTACTGTGAATCTGAAAAGCAGGAAGTGTTAATAGATCTTGTCTTTACTGTGAAATCTGAAAAACAGGAAGTTATATATGTTGTCTTTAATGTAAATCTTAAAAAATAATACATGTGAGTCTTAACATTATGGATTTAGAAGAATCGCAGTTATGTTCTCATGGGGTGTCAACATCACATACCAAATCTTCTTATTTCTCACAGGATGTCAACATCACATACCACATCTTCTTATATCTCACAAGGTGCCAACATCATATACCAAAACTTATTATTTCTCACAGGGTCTCAACATCACATACCAAATCTTCTTATTTCTCACAGGGTGTCAACAACATCACATACCACATCTTCTTATTTCTCACAGGGTGTCAACATCACATAAACCATCTTCTTATATCTCACAAAGTGTCAACATCGACATCACATACCACATCTTTTTTTTTTTCACAGGACGTCATCATCACATACCAAATCTTCTTATTTCTCACAGGGTGTCAACATCACATACCACATCTTCTTATTTCTCACAGGGAGTCAACACCACATAACAATCTTCTTATTTCTCACAGAGTGTCAACATCGACATCACATACCACATTTTCTTTTTTCTCACAGGGTGTCAACATCACATACCACATCTTCTTATTTCATTTCTCACAGGGTGTCACCATAACATACCAAATCTTCTAATTTCTCACTGGGTGTAAATATCACATACCACATCTTCTTATTTCTCACAGGGTGTCAACATCACATACAACATCTTCTTATTTCTCACAGAGTGTCAACATTGACATCACATACCACATCTTCTTATTTTTCACAGGACGTCATCATCACATACCAAATCTTCTTATTTCTCACAGGGTGTCAACATCACATACCACATCTTCTTATTTCTCACAGGGTGTCAACATCACATACCAAATCTTCTTATTTCTCACAGAGTGTCAACATCGACATCACATACCACATCTTCTTTTTTCTCACAGGGTGTCAACATCACATACCACATCTTATTTTATTTCTCACAGGGTGTCACCATAACATACCAAATCTTCTTATTTCTCACAGGGTGTCACCATAACATACCAAATCTTCTAATTTTATTTTTCACAGGGTGTCACAATAACATACCACATCTTCTTATTTCTCACAAGGTGTCACCATCACATACCACATCTTATTATTTCTCACATGGTGTCACCATCACATACCACATCTTCTTATTTTATTTCTCACAGGGTGTCACCATAACATACCAAACTTCTTATTTCTCACAGGGTGTCAATATCACATACCACATCTTTTTCTCACAGGGTGTCAACATCACATACCACATCTTCTTATTTCTCACAGGGTGTCAACATCACAGACCACATCTTATTATTTCTCACAAGGCGTCAACATCACATCTTCTTTTTCAGAGGATGTCAACATCACACACAATATCTTCGTGTTTCTCACAGGGTGTCAACATCACATACAAGATCTTCTTATTTCTCACAGGGTGTCAACATCACATACCAAATCTTTTATTTCTCACAGGGTGTCAACATCACATACAACATCTTTTTGTTTCTCAAAGGGTGACAACATCACATACAACATCTTCTTATTTCTAACAGTGTCAACATCGACATCACATACCACATCTTCTTATTTTTCACAGGACGTCAACATCACATACCAAATCTTCTTATTTCTCATAGGGTGTCAACATCACATACCACATCTTCTTATTTCTCACAGGGTGTCAACATCACATACCAAATCTTCTTATTTCTCATAGTTTCAACATCGACATCACATACCACATCTTCTTATTTCTCACAGGGTGTCAACATCACATACCACATCTTCTTATTTTATTTCTCACAGGGTGTCACCATGACATACCAAATCTTCTTATTTCCCACAGGGTGTCAATATCACATTCCACATTTTCTTATTTCTCACAAGGTGTCACCATCACATACCACATCTTATTATTTCTCACAGGGTGTCAACATCACATACCACATCTTCTTATATTTCTCACAGGGTGTCACCATAACATACCAAATCTTCTTATTTCTCACAGGGTGTCAATATCACATACCACATCTTATTTCTCACAGGGTGTCAACATCACATACCACATCTTCTTATTTCTCACAGGATGTCAACATCACACACAATATCTTCTTATTTCTCACAGGGTGTCAACATAACATACAAGATCTTCTTATTTTTCACAGGGTGTCAGCATCACATACCACATCTTATTATTTCACACAGGGTGTCAATATCACATTCCACATCTTTTTATTTCTCACAGGGTGTCAACATCACATACAATATATTCTTATTTCTCACAGGTCATCACCATAACATACCATATCTTCTTATTTCTCAGAGTGTCAACATCACATAACTCATCTTCTTATTTCTCACAGGGTGTCAACATCACTCACCATATTTTCTTATTTCTCACAAAGTGTCAACATCACATACCACATCTTATTTCTCACAGAATGTCAACATCGACATCACATACCACATCTTTTAATTCTCACAGGGTGTCAACATCACATACCACATCTTCATGTTTCTCATAGGGTGACAACATCAAATACCACATCTTCTAATTTCTCAAAGGGTGTCAATATCACATACCAAAACTTCTTATTTTTCACAGGGTGACAACATCACATACCAAAACTTCTTATTTCTCACAGGGTGCCAACATCACATACCAAAACTTCTTATTTCTCACAGGGCGTCAACATCACATACCAAAACTTCTTATTTTTCACAGGTTGACAACATCACATACCAAAACTTCTTATTTCTCACAGGGCGCCAACATCACATACCAAAACTTCTTATTTCTCACAGGGCTTCAACGTCACACCTTCTTATTTCACAGGATGTCAACATAATAAAACTTACCTTAGAAAGTGACCTTATTCCAAATTTAGAAAGAAACTCCTCTTCATCAAACAAAACTTCTTGTAAATTTCCCAAACGTTGAAGGGGTACACAAGTCAGAAAATAGGTGTCGTTTTCTGATTTCTTCATTATCTACAAAAAATAGATAAATATTAACAACATAATATAGGAATTTGGATTTAATATCTAAATAATTTCAGTTCTACACAAGATTTTTTGATAGCACAGTGGGATAAGATAAGGCAAGTTGTAAAGCACAGAAAGGAATACAGTAACACTCCTTGAAACTATTTAATGATTTTTTAAATAACCAGCAGTATAGGATTTCAGATGATTTCAAAGTTTTCTTCCCCAAAAAATCTCAAGAAAGAAATAGGTCTTTTTTGCAATCAAGTTTTAGCAAGGACGACATTTTGATTTTTCCTTGAACTGGTTCCTCCTATATTTGACATTGCCAATGAAAACAAGGAAAGCAGGTGATCAGCTGAAAGAACTTGTACAGGAAATTCAATTGGACAGCATTCTATCCAAAAGCATGGGGTTGGAATGGGATGAATTCTGCAGTGCTTAAAGGGCCTAGGCAGGACATTGTCTTTTTCCACAATCTCACATGACAACCAAATTTGATTTACTGTCCTATCAATGTGGGAAAGGGTAAATTAACAGGAATAGACTGCCTTCAATCCAAAATATTTAACAAAGTGGACAATTATCTGCAATGACACGTACATACATCAGAATAGTCTGTTTGTAATGCCTGTTTTAATTCATCTGTACATCCAATACCACTAAAGTTAACAGTACCACAAGCTACAAGGGGAAGTAACCCAACAAGTGATCTAACTTTAATTACTCCACATACATGTATAGAGTCTGTTTGTAACAACTGTTTTAATTCCTCTGTACATCTAATACCACTAAAGTTAACAGTACCACAAGCTACAAGGGGAAGTAACCCTACAAGTGATCTAACTATAATTACTCCACATACATGTATAGAGTCTGTTTGTAATGCCTGTTTTAATTCCTCTGTACATCTAATACCACTAAAGTTAACAGTACCACAAGCTACAAGGGGAAGTAACCCTACAAGTGATCTAACTTTAATTACTCCACATACATGTATAGAGTCAGTTTGAAACACCTGTTTTAATTCCTCTGTACATCTAATACCAATAAAGTTAACAGTACCACAAGCTACTAGGGGAAGTAACCCAACAAGTGATCTAGCTTTAATTACTCCACATCCATGTATAGAGTCTGTTTGTAACACCTGTTTTAATTCCTCTGTACATCTAATACCACTTAAGTTAACAGTACCACAAGCTACAAGGGGAAGTAACCCAACAAGTGATCTAACTTTAATTACTCCACATACATGTATAGAGTCTGTTTGTAACGCCTGTTTTAATTCCTCTGTACCTCTAATACCACAAGCTACAAGGGGAAGTAACCCAACAAGTGATCTAACTTTAATTACTCCACATACATGTATAGAGTCTGTTTGTAACAGCTGTTTTAATTCCTCTGTACATCTTATACCTCTAAAGTTAACAGTACCACAAGTTACAAGGTGAAGTAACCCAACAAGTGATCTAACTTTAATTACTCCACATACATGTATAGAGTCTGTTTGTAACACCTGTTTTAATTCCTCTGTACATCTAATACCACTAAAGTTAACAGTACCAGAAGCTACAAGGGGAAGTAACCCAACAAGTGATCTAACTTTAATTACTCCACATACATGTATAGAGTCTGTTTGTAACACCTGTTTTAATTCCTCTGTACATCTAATACCAATAAAGTTAACAGTACTACAAGCTACAAGGGGAAGTAACCCAACAAGTGATCTAACTTTAATTACTCCACATACATGTATAGAGTCTGTTTGTAACACCTGTTTTAATTCCTCTGTACATCTAATACCACTAAAGTTAACAGTACCACAAGCTACAAGAGGAAGTAACCCAACAAGTGATCTAACTTTAATTACTCCACATACATGTATAAAGTCTGTTTGTAATGCCTGTTTTAATTCCTCTGTACCTCTAATACCACAAGCTACAAGGGGAAGTAACCCAACAAGTGATCTAACTTTGATTACTCCACATACATGTATAGAGTCTGTTTGTAACACCTGTTTTAATTCCTCTGTACATCTAATACCACTAAAGTTAACAGTACCACAAGCTACAAGGGGAAGTAACCCAACAAGTGATCTAACTTTAATTACTCCACATACATGTATAGAGTCTGTTTGTAACACCTGTTTTAATTCCTCTGTACATCTAATACCATTACAGTTAACAGTACCACAAGCTACAAGGGGAAGTAACCCAACAAGTGATCTAATTTTAATTACTCTACATACATGTATACAGTCTGTTTGCAACACCTGTTTTAATTCCTCTGTACATCTTATACCACTAAAGTTAACAGTACCACAAGCTACAAGGGGAAGTAACCCAACAAGTGATCTAACTTTAATTACTCCACATACATGTATAGAGTCTGTTTGTAACACCTGTTCTAATTCCTCTGTATATCTAATACCTCTTAAGTTAACAGTAACCACAAGCTACAAGGGGAAGTAACCCAACAAGTGATCTAACTTTAATTACTCCACATACATGTATAGAGTCTGTTTGTAACAACTGTTTTAATTCCTCTGTACATCTAATACCACTAAAGTTAACAGTAACCACAAGCTACAAGGGGAAGTAACCCAACAAGTGATCCAACTTTAATTACTCCACATATATGTATAGAGTCTGTTTGTAACACCTGTTTTAATTCCTCTGTATATCTAATACCTCTAAAGTTAACAGTAACCACAAGCTACAAGGGGAAGTAACCCAACAAGTGATCTAACTTTAATTACTCCACATACATGTATAGAGTCTGTTTGTAACAACTGTTTTAATTCCTCTGTACATCTAATACCACTAACGTTAACAGTAACCACAAGCTACAAGGGGAAGTAAACCAACAAGTGATCTAACTTTAATTACTCCACATACATGTATAGAGTCTGTTTGTAACAACTGTTTTAATTCCTCTGTACATCTAATACCACTAACGTTAACAGTAACCACAAGCTACAAGGGGAAGTAACCCAACAAGTGATCTAACTTTAATTACTCCACATACATGTATAGAGTCTGTTTGTAACACCTGTTTTAATTCCTCTGTACATCTAATACCACTTACGTTAACAGTAACCACAAGCTACAAGGGGAAGTAACCCAACAAGTGATCTAACTTTAATTACTCCACATACATGTATAGAGTCTGTTTGTAACAACTGTTTTAATTCCTCTGTACATCTAATACCTCTAACGTTAACAGTAACCACAAGCTACAAGGGGAAGTAACCCAACAACTGATCTAACTTTAATTACTCCACATACATGTGTATAGTCTGTTTGTAACACCTGTTTTAATTCCTCTGTACATCTAATACCACTGAGGTTAACAGTAACACACGCTACAAGGGGAAGTAACCCAACAAGTGATCTAACTTTAATTACTCCACATACATGTATAGAGTCTGTTTGTAACAACGGTTTTAATTCCTCTGTACATCTAATACCACTAAAGTTAACTTTACCACAAGCTACAAGGGGAAGTAACCCAACAACTGATCTAACTTTAATTACTCCACATACATTTATAGAGTCTGTTTGTAACAACTGTTTTAATTCCTCTGTACATCTAATACCAATAAAGTTAACAGTACCACAAGTTACAAGGGGAAGTAACCCTATAAGTGATCTAACTTTAATAAATTATGACACATACATGTATAGAGTCTGTTTGTAACAACTGTTTTAATTCCTCTGTACATCTAATACCACTAAAGTTAACAGTACCACAAGCTACAAGGGGAAGTAACCCAACAAGTGATCTAACTTTAATTACTCCACATACATGTATAGAGTCTGTTTGTAACACCTGTTTTAATTCCTCTGTACATCTAATACCAATAAAGTTAACAGTACTACAAGCTACAAGGGGAAGTAACCCAACAAGTGATCTAACTTTAATTACTCCACATACATGTATAGAGTCTGTTTGTAACACCTGTTTTAATTCCTCTGTACATCTAATACCACTAAAGTTAACAGTACCACAAGCTACAAGAGGAAGTAACCCAACAAGTGATCTAACTTTAATTACTCCACATACATGTATAAAGTCTGTTTGTAATGCCTGTTTTAATTCCTCTGTACCTCTAATACCACAAGCTACAAGGGGAAGTAACCCAACAAGTGATCTAACTTTGATTACTCCACATACATGTATAGAGTCTGTTTGTAACACCTGTTTTAATTCCTCTGTACATCTAATACCACTAAAGTTAACAGTACCACAAGCTACAAGGGGAAGTAACCCAACAAGTGATCTAACTTTAATTACTCCACATACATGTATAGAGTCTGTTTGTAACACCTGTTTTAATTCCTCTGTACATCTAATACCATTACAGTTAACAGTACCACAAGCTACAAGGGGAAGTAACCCAACAAGTGATCTAATTTTAATTACTCTACATACATGTATACAGTCTGTTTGCAACACCTGTTTTAATTCCTCTGTACATCTTATACCACTAAAGTTAACAGTACCACAAGCTACAAGGGGAAGTAACCCAACAAGTGATCTAACTTTAATTACTCCACATACATGTATAGAGTCTGTTTGTAACACCTGTTCTAATTCCTCTGTATATCTAATACCTCTTAAGTTAACAGTAACCACAAGCTACAAGGGGAAGTAACCCAACAAGTGATCTAACTTTAATTACTCCACATACATGTATAGAGTCTGTTTGTAACAACTGTTTTAATTCCTCTGTACATCTAATACCACTAAAGTTAACAGTAACCACAAGCTACAAGGGGAAGTAACCCAACAAGTGATCCAATTTTAATTACTCCACATATATGTATAGAGTCTGTTTGTAACACCTGTTTTAATTCCTCTGTATATCTAATACCTCTAAAGTTAACAGTAACCACAAGCTACAAGGGGAAGTAACCCAACAAGTGATCTAACTTTAATTACTCCACATACATGTATAGAGTCTGTTTGTAACAACTGTTTTAATTCCTCTGTACATCTAATAC